GGGTGATTTATTTTATTTTTCAGATAGAATAGAATAAAACGAAGAAGAAGAAGAAGAAGAAGAAGAAAAAAAAAGAAAATGAAAATGTTCAAATATCGTTTGACAACTTCTTTAAATTGATTACTTATAAATTTAATCACCTGTATATTTAAAAATCATTTAGATAATTGTTCAAATTGATAACTGATAATTTTTTGTTTTGTTTTAGAATTATTTGTAATGGGAGTAGCAAAATCCTCACCATTACGATATAAACGTCAGGAAAATGAAAATCTTTGGAGTAAAAATTTTCAAGTTATCTTTGGAAGAGAAGATATTGATGATTTACAACAAAAATTTTCATCATCATCTGTCTGTCAAAAAAGTTCAGTATCAATCTCAACATCCTCGACTAAAAAATCGACAACATTAAAAAATAATTTACGAAAATTATCATCAACTTCGTCTACAACATCCTGTGATTCAATTTCATCATCACCATCTTCATCCTCAAAGAATACTCATTCAAATCGACGATATTATAGTATTCAAATTGATATACCCATAATAACTTCAACAACCGAACAACAATACAATGGCATGAAATCATTTTTAGAATTTGAATCGTCAACATTAGCTCGTAGTCTATTTCAGCATGGACCCTACGGTACACAATTAGTGGATATTCAACGACTACCAGAAAATTCAAAAATAAAACTAACACATCCCGTACTAAAATTAAATGCTATTTTTTATAAATATCAATCGGATGATGTACTTAATTATAAATATACTCAAGAAATATTTGTAGAAAAAATTTTATTACCGAGAATACAATCACGAAAACATACTGAAGAAAATATTATTCAAATTTTACGTAAAATTTTAGATCGAATTGAAAATGAAAATGGTCGATTATTATCGATATTATCATTTTCAGATACACACGTACAAGATGTAATCGATCATGTTGATTCAGGTAAAAAACTTGTCAGTATTTCTCTAGCGACCAAAAATATGAAAACTATTTGCCTAGATATACGTATAGTATAATGAACATAATGAATCAAAACATACTGATATTCTTAGAAGACGTATGAGAAAATTTTACCCGTTTTCCTTTCTATATTTTAAAAATTTTATTTAAAACATTTTGTATTGTTTTTTGTCATGTTTTTACAAATAGAGGACGAAAAAATCTGACTCTCTTCGTCCGTATTTCAAGAGTATCTGGCACTGTTCAAACGGCCACCCGTCAGGGGTGCGCGGTAACAGAAAGTGCATAAACATTTTGCCCTAAAACCCTTTTTAAGCTTAAAATTTCGTTTTTCCTTCTGCCGAAGAAAAGTTATTAGCATTTTCACAAAAACATAGCAAATTATAGACTGGTAATTCTAATCAAGCAGACAGAAGATGCCAGCTACCCCGTCAGTCATAGTCATTCCGAAAACTGCAAGATTCCAAAATTTACGAAAAATATGACGCGTTTGCTGAATGTAGCATATCAACACGCAAGTAGCTGCGAGTGGAAAAAATAACACGCAGGAAGCGCATGTTGCCATGGAAACAGGCTTTATTCGCATGTTTCTGTCTGTTGTTTGTATCGACTTCGCCATTCCTTGCGTGTTGATATGCTACATTCACTAAACGCATCATATTTTCGTAAATTTTGGAATCTTGCAGTTTTCGGAATGACTATGACTGACTGAGTAGAATCCTGCGGATTTAATCTGATCCCAAACAGTTTTTTCCAGGTTCGAGTTTCAAGTCTATGAGACCGAAGTAAATTGAAAATGTCAGACTTTATTTTATTTTTTAAAGCAAATACGGATTATGTGATTTATTCAAAACCAGATTATTCAATATTATCTGAAGTTGTCAAAAAAAAATTATCAAGTCCACAAAAATATGAAATTGTATTGTCTAATTCGAGTTCAACAACAAACACGACAATTTTCATGTCCGAAAATATATTCGATTATGCAAGTGAATGGTTACAACCATTTGTCAAATATTCTAAATTAGGTTATCGTCTATGTAGTATCATTATTCACCGTGATACTCCATCCATCTCTGTTACACATAATTTAACTAATGATAATGATGAGTTAACAACAAGAAAAAAGTTAACATTTATCGTTTATTGGATATTTGAACAGAGTCAACAACAAGAAGAATATGAATGTTGTGTCATTGAATATCGTTTTAAACTTCGACATAAATTAAATGATTTTCATATAAATACAAATTGGACAGACTTTTTAAATAATATGGCTATGAAACGATGGCAATTAGTAACAACGGTCGAATTACCACGAACAATTCGCAATGATGGAAATAAATTCATTTTTAAATTACTATTATTTTTTCAACGAAAAATAGTAGAATAACAATATAAAACTCTCAAAATTCAGTTATAATTCTAGTAGATCTCAGAAGGTGCATAATTATGTCTCTATTTTGAAAAATAAAGAGAAACATAGTGTTTGTAATTTGTTTTTTTTTGTCTATCTTTTGAATTTAATTATCTAATAACATCATCAAAAAAGGAATGAACTATTATTATTCTAGAAACACAAAACTAATTATAATAATAAATTAAGTTTAAGTAAAAACTTAGCATAGAAAAAAAAACTATCGTCTCAAAACAGACACACTACAAATGAATTGTCATACTCTTGATATAAAAAATAAAAATTATAATGACTTAAAATTTTAAAATGACTTAAATAAAAACAAAAATGAGATTAAATACTAAGAGATGAATAAACAACATACAGGTTTTTGTACTGAAAAAGAAATGCTAGACAAGGTGATCATTAAAAAGGCTAAAAAAAAATAAGAAATTCAATATAGCTAAACACAGCATTTTACTAGATTTTTTTGATATAACTAAATAAACTCGTGTCTAAAATACATGTATAAAGTACTGATCGAGTTTAAATAAATAAACCAAAAAAATGTGAAATGTAAAAATAGGTACTAATTGGATTAATACAATATAAATATGATTAATAATTATTAATATCGACTAATATCTCTTCCAAATAATCGTGCTCTCACCCAATCAAATGCTAATAGAAATTTTGTTCTTGTCGTAAATTGTTCGGTAAAATAGAAAGATTTCCATAAATAATATGAACCTCTACCGGATATTGGTTTTAATGAAAATATATCTAAAAGAGGTTTTGAACCGCTAAAATCAATAACAGCTGCATCACCACCTAGAATAGATAAAATATTTATTAGAATATACTGTTTTATATTGTATTTTTTTTTTCTACTTACCCACATACGCTAATGATCCAAAATGTGTATAACTAAACGGTTTAAATGATGCAGATGTTGTTGAACGTGCCATATAATTCAATAAATCCGAAACATAACGTCCTTCTTGTGTTGCTACTTGAGCTGTGGCTGGTAATGAACGTAATTTTTTATCCGCTTTTTCCATTATTGAACGTAGAGCTTGTAATGTTAAACTTCCAGATTTTGTTTGATCAGCTTCATAAAATGCTTTTTCAATATCTTTTTGAAATATTTCAAGCTAAAAACATACATAAATTACAATGAGTCATATTTTAACAAAATGTTATTTTTTCTTTTATTTTTATACTTGTGGATATTCATTAACTTTATTTTCAATAAATAATTTAAATTCATCTAAATTTAATGATCCACGTTTATGAGTATCTATTTCTTCAAATAATAATTGTATTCGATCTAATACTTTTGGTTGTTCAATTGTAGCACAATCACCAATGGCATAAATACTTCCATCATTAACACCTTTTACTCTCAAATATTTATCAGTTAATAGACCCATACGATTACTTTGTTTATCAGTTCCAATTATTTCACGTAATTTATTTGTTAACGGTCTGGCTTTAATACCTGTTGCCCATACGACGATTGAACAAGGTATTGATTGTAATTCTTTTGAATCTTTTACTTGAACAATAACTTCTTTTTGTTTAATACCTTTGACAAATGTATTAATCATGACTTCGATATTTTCACGATGAAAATGTTTTTCAGTATAATCACTAATCTTTTTATCCTTAAAAAAAAACGATGAAAAAAATTAAAGTAATGAAGAAATCTTCTCTCAGAAAAAATTGTCTACACTGTATCACGGATTTGCACGAAATTTTGGTGGATGAGACACTACAGCATTAAAAGATTAGGATCAAAATTTCGATCAAAAATAATGACTTTTTCACAAGTTAGCTACATTTTAAGTTGAAAGTTCAGAAAAGTGCCTCTTTTCTCCTTAATAAAATGCACTTTTCTCAGTAACGAAGTGAAATTAAAAAAGAATGGTTTTTCACTTTATACATTTATGTTTTAGCTATTAAACAAAACAAGTTCATCAAATTACGAAGTGAAACAAGTTTGAAGTTTATATAACTCTCTCGGATGAAAACGAAATAGGTTCACCTATGAAAACCTCTCAAAACAGAATTTTTCATAAAGAGCTATACAGATTCTGAAAACGAAGACTTCAGACTATCTCTCCATGCCAAAAATTCGATTTCAATTTTCCATCAATAATCGACTTTCTATGTGATCTCTTAATTTTTCAACTTTTAAAAATAATGTTCTATATTTACCATCATTGATAAAACATGATCCAACGCTTCAATTATTGTTATTTTAACATAATTTTTTATTAGACCTGGAAAATAGTATTTTAAATCTTCACGAATATAATCAGCCAACTGTTAATAAATCAGAGAACGTTAACTGGTCAATTACATAAAATAAAACGTTATGTACACATACGAACCTCAGCCGCAAATTCGACACCTGTTGGTCCTCCACCCACAATGACAAAATGTAAAAGACGTCTTTTGTCTTCGTCTGTTTGTGATGGTATCATGGCTGATTCAAATGCATCCGAAATAGCTGATCGAATTCTTCTCGCGTCTAAAATTTCTTTCAGAAAATGAGCATGTTTTTCTACACCTGGTATTCCAAACGTATTATTTTCTGAACCAACAGCAACAATTAAATAATCATATTTCATATCGAATTTTGGACGTATTCTTGCACCATCACGAATTTTTCTCGATGATGATCCACCTTCGTATTCAGATTCAATACTTGGACTAGAAGGTAATTTTTCACGGCCGAAAATAGAAGTAGTGGCAATTGGTTTGGTTTCTAAATAGAAGACTAAAATATTAAATTTTCTCCTTAATTATCTTTTGATCTAACCTTGATTTTCTTTTGATCCATCATTTGAACATGTAATTATTTTTTGTTGTGGATCTACATTGATACATTCGGATTCAACAAATTTAATTCTTGGCCCTAATAAACTTCGTATTGGTTCAATAACAGTTCTTGGTTCGACTGTTCCAACACTAACTGAAGGTAACAATGGCGTCACTGAAATCATAAAAAAAAACTGACTTTATATTTCTTGTTATTATAATGAGAAAATAATTGCAATTTTACTAACTCAGAAAATAATTTCTTGGTGAAACAACGACAACTTCATATTTAGATGTGTCAATATGTCTCAGAAGAGGTACAGCTCCCCATCCTGTACCCAACACGACAACGCGTGGTTTTTGTCCAATAGTCACATCAGAATCATGCATTTCATTGTACCACTGACGAGAACGATAAAGTCGATAACCATAGATGGTACCCACACTGACTAGAGTTACTATGAGCACATTACGAAAACGACGACGAAAACGAGAGACTAAAATAGAAAGTGAATAGATGATAAAAATGAGTTACTAAACATAGTGATAGTAAGATATTGCAACCTCTTTTATAATCTTTCCTTCTAGATCTCGTCTGGTCTCTCTACATTTTTCTTATTTCGCTTCTACAAAACGAACTTACAAAATTTTCTTTTAACTGGTTGTGTGATTGATGCCAAACTTCTCCAATTATTTTTAAAAGCATTTGTTAATGTACTACTGTTGAATGAATTTTTTAAGCTTTTGATTGAAAAAGATCGAGATTGCTGATGAAACTGTTGATAAAGAAGTTGACGAATCACTACGGTACGAGAAAACATATTCACAATAAAGAGATTTTTTCGAGAAATCTAAGAATAAAACAAAACAATGTACTATGGATTCAGACAAAACTATAAAAAACTGTTAACTAGCAGGAAATAACTATCTCGCTAAGATGCATAAAAGCCGATTTTCTACTTTATTTTCTAGTTCATATTGAGGATGTTATGAGCTAAACAACAGATTCTTTTTTCGAGAAGATTTCTAATAATTATAGATCTTTCACGTGATATTCTCTGAGACTTTTCATGCCATCATGTCATTGCTCTTCTTTTCGTCAGAGTATCGTAGTTGTTTTTTACAGTTGTTTGTATTCTGTATGTGTTTTTTTCCTTCCTTTTGGTATCGTATATACTATTTCTTTTTGCTGCCTATTTAATTATTTCCTTGTCTTTCTTCATATGCTCGTCTTCAACGTTATTCCTTGTCTGTTTGGCTTTAACGTAAGCCAATAAGATTTTTCTTTATCACTTCCTATATTATGTTAAACTATGCTTACATCAGCACTAATATATTTAAGAGATGGTCTGTGAGACTGCCGACCATGTCAGCCAGAGACAAAATGTTCTTTTCATTCTCAATGATGTAGTTCAAGAGAGCATACAGAAAAACCATATATAGCTCCTTTTTGGACAATTAAATGGCTTAATATTCTGGTCATCACCTAGACATGGGCGGGACCGTCCCGGTCCCGACGGGACTGGGACCGGAACCGGGACGGAACTACAAACTATTTTTCCGGCACCGGAATCGGGACAAAAAACATTATTTTACCGGGACCGGGATGGAACTACAGACTATTTTTCCGGGACCAAATCAGGACCGACACTAGAACTAAGATTATTTTTGACAATTGCGTAAATTCAGTTATAACTTCACCTGTTCTCCCTAATTAAATAGAAATGTTGTAGAAAGTCGTCAGGGAGTCTTACAGTGCTTTTCTACGCGTTTAATTTTCCATCTACGTCACGCAAACTTTATTAAAAACACCAGAATCTCAGTTTGAGATTCCAGAAAAGTAGCTAGTTTTATTTAAAAGGCAGTTTATATGTCATTAAATAGATTATCACCCAGCTGACTGTTTATATCATTAGTATTTGCATCTACATCCTCTTGACTGCTCTCATTCAGCTCATCTCGTTTTCGTTTCATATCTGATGGTATAGCTGTTAATAAACCATTATGCTGATCACCAAAAAGAAAATGATCACGCCATAGATGTATGTACAAAAAGAAAAAGAAAGAAATCATCTGTACATAATACGTAAGAAAAGGAAAGAAAAAACAACTGAGCATCTCGCGTATGATCACGTTCCATAAATGTGATCAATCTTATGTAATCAGGCATGCGCCGGTTATTTTGCTTATATAATCAGAAGAAGAAACATACGGCATAACCTCATCCATAGACGGACAAATAACAGATAACTGTCGATTAGAAAACTCTTGAATTTTCCGGCATTAATACAGTGTTATTTCCGTGTGAGCGTAATTGGTTTAAGGGCCAGGACCATAAAAACCGTGCGGAATCGGAACCGAAATAATTTTACGGGACTGAGACCGAAACCGGGACCGAAAGAAGTTTACGGGACTGGGACGGGGACAGGACCGGGGCTAAAAATCATCGGTCCCGCCCATATCTATCATCACCAGAATCACTAAGCACCATTTTTTCGATGAGAAATCGTCAGAACTGCAAAGCGTAGGAGAAAACAACGAAAAATGCTTTCCGCGCCTTTCGAAAAACGAATGAAACTCAGAGAGCAAAGATTCCAGTAAGGTGCGGGTCAAACCTTTTTTTTAGCCAAAGGAAATAGTAAAAAAAAGTTCTTGTGTAATATTTTTATTTTAGATTTCAATCAAAATATTTTTTTCTATCGCAAGTGAAGAAAACGAAATTTCTAAGGGCTGGGTCATGTCCCACCGTTGGCCAAGTGCTGGGTACGTCGCTGTTTCGTAAAGAACGTCATTAACTTTAAGTTTTCGACATAAGTGTGGCGAATAGAGAACGCCTGGCTGCACCTTTCGTGTACATTTTTTTTTACCTAAAAGAATATTGGCACTTAAACCTTTCTTCTTAAGAGAAAATGGGCTCCAAAGTGAGAAAAGTTCTGTTATTACACGTTTTATAGAGTGATTTTTTCGACTTTGGCTCTCTCATATCGGGAGATGAAATCGACCAATTTACTTGAAATTCACACCATTTTCTTCCACTTTCGACTCTCGGTGAAAATTTTTTTACCAAAGTTTACCGCGGTAAAATTTTGAGATTTTTTACCGGTTTCAAATTACGGCGGTAAAAATCTGATATACCGACGCATCGGTAGCAATATTATCCCTCCAACGTGTCGAAAATAACAAGATAATCGTTCATTTAATAGAAAAAGCAGAAGCTTTCAACAGTTAAATCATCACTGAAACTCATCTGAAAATACCGTCAAATTACTTAAATTATTACGCCGATTCAAGGCTTGCCTTTAATGTACGCACAGTGAATTCCGTCGAAGTAGAGAGCCTGTTATCGCATTTGAATGATCGCAAATCACCAAGGCTTGAGAATATCTCAAATATGATACTACGAATTGTATTGATATATAAGACAAGTCCACTGGCACATCTCATTAAGTACGCATTAGACAATAGTTATTTTTCTTCGATTTCTGGGACGTTGGAAAAATTCCATTGCGGGCCGCTGAAAAGGTAGCCCATGGATAAAATGGGGAACATTTTCGTTATAGCCAAGGCTTTTGATCGAGTATCGCACGACAGATTATTTTTTAAACTAGAGCATTATCAGGTTAGAGATCCACTTCTCTGCTGGTTCCGCTCCTATTTATCAGATCGAAAGTAATGCATATGAGTTGACGGCAAGTTATCCTCCTGCAAGAGAGTATCAGCAGGCGTACTTAGTTCCGATCTATTCAAATATTTCTTAACAACATCGATGAATTAGAACTTGCATGCGTACTAAATCTCACAGTTAAAATTGGTCAATCGGTTCTGCTAATGACGGCAAGCAGAGCTAACAGACCCGCTTCAATTTTGCTGTACCTCTTCGCTGATGATGCTAATATATGGTACTTCGCTGAACCACCAGACACAGCGACAATCTTGATTTGCTAAATAGTGGACGAAGCAATGGCTGGTGCAATTTAACTGAAAAAGAAGGTAGAAACCATATTCATCTCAAAGAACAAGCCTACATATCCCAGTCTAATACTCAGTGGTAATCCACTATGTAAAGTTTCAAGCCATAAGCACATAGGTCCCTCTGTCACATTTTTGAAAAACGTAATGGATGGAGAAAAACAAAAATTGAATTAACATTTTTTTGTATACGCAGCACAGACGCGCTGAAATGAACACGTCTGATTTATTGTACGAACATTTCGTCGGTTCTTGAATATAGTATTCAAATAAACGGCTGTACAAATGATTATACCCCTTATATCTTATGACAGTTTCAATATGAGCAATATGGCAATAATCATATCCGATGAGATCAGAGGAACCAGTTGCGAGAAGTTGAAGAAAGACTCAGGATTAGTTTTTTTCTAGTGAATTATTAAATGAAACTAAAACCCATAGATATCACATAGGAGAATATAGGCCGAAAGTTACTTCGTGACATTCAATTACTTTTTTTCTCTTTCGTAAACTATAATCCTCAAAGTAAACAAAAAAAAAATAAATAACATTCTTCATCATCCAGACACACTCACAGATTTATCCGTTTGAAAAAAAATATATAATTGAAAGATATTAAATTTTAGTGGTATTCTTCTTTCTTTCCTTTTTTAGTATTTATTCTTTTTTATTAATTCTTTTTTTTAATATTTATTGTTTTGCTAGATAATGGCTCCATGAGGAGATCAAAAACGTCGATTAAATTAATTAACAAATAAATAAAATTCTTTACCCAATATGGCAGCTGCTGTAAAGTTCAAAGTCATTCATTATACAGTTTTGTTATGTCAATGAACTTTTGATTATAAAATGTTTTCTTTTTTCCAAATAGCTCATATCAGAACTAAATAATGCTTCTAAATGAGAACTGGAGAGCGCAGAATTCTGCACAAAATGAATCATCTTGTAGTTTTGTCCAACTAACTTCCACTATAACAGAACAATAAGTAAATTTCGAACTGAATGAAAGCTCATTAGAAGATGAAATAATACTATTTTCTGTCTCCCTCTTGTGCAGTGAACGAATTAATGAATCATTTACACTAGTAGATCGCTGTTATTCCATCCATGAAACATTCCTTGTTACTGTTGCTGACTTAGATTTTCGCAATTATTGAAAAAGAATTATCTATTTAAACTCGAAAAAGAATTTAAGCATAAAAAAAGGCAAAATGGACGGAATAAAATAAATTTTTGTACTCTTCGATCACGTAGACAATACATTGTGTGTTTTTACTTGATAGTCATCGCACAGTGTTTCTAAATCTTCTAACATAAACTTAGCGGGATCCGGCGGTTGATGAAGTATCATTTTGGTAGTTATCGTCTAAAATAGAAGAAAATGCTAAACTTCAGATCATGATTCGATCTCAAACATTTTACCTTGAATAATTCATATATTTCATGTTTAATCATGTATTTGTGGGCTTGTGCCTCTGGATCCTCTACTGTTATATTCCCCATCGTTTTTTTCATCATAACCGAGACAAGATCCGATTGTTCTTCCAATTCCTGTGTTGTTAAAGGACGATGCTCATTTTGTGCACTATTTTTATCTTCATCAGTTGGTAACAGGCCCAACATTTGTAGACGACGTCGTGCTTCTGGATGTTGCTGAGGAATTTTTTTTTCATCTCCAATTATTGATGGTAATTTCTTTTGTTCAATAAATCGATCATTCCTCACTGTTTTGACAGTTTTCCAATCTAATGGTGTTGCTGTATCAACATTTGGTATGTGGCTATAACAGAAATCCACCGTATACCCATCTCTGAACACTTCATATACTGGCTATGTTAATGTTACATAGACTTTATTATGAGGTTTAGTTCCTGTCTCAATATAGAGCAAACATGAGCTGTTCTACTTACCTTGTTGGTTGTTCTTGGATTAATTTTGGAAATAAACGCTTTCGTCTATCATTTTCTTTCGTTTCTTTCTGAAGTTCTTCTACGGATTTTGTAGCCTGTTCCCTACCCCCATACCTCGTCGAGGATGATATTGTGGTTTCATCAACCTTCTCTCCTTCTAAGAGTGTTTTCACACTACTTGGATTTGATATTTTTGATGCAGTTGTGGCAGAAGTTGTAACGAGGTCAGAATCATTTAACGCTTCATTCGCTTCTTCTACTATTGGTGGATCGCCGAATCGATTTATGTCACGCTGGAATGATGACATTCCAGGAAAAATAGGAGACAAATAGTCTAAAATAAAAAAAACAGCATTGGTAGAAAAATCATGAAAGGATTTTAGAAAACCTTTTCAACAGAGGCATAGCTTTGTGGATGGAACAGACGATATAAATAGACTGAGTATTGAGACTTTAAGTCATATTTACGTTGATCTTTCACATGACCCAAGTGTTGAAAAGAATTCTTTTATTCAAACAGAAAACAATCGCTATTAACCAACGTAAAAAAGTTGTTTATCCGTATACACTGTTTTAGTATAAAAAATGAAAAAGTTTTAACTAATGAATAATAACTTTATTAAACACCACAAGAAGAAAGCTTTTATCCGGGTGGCCATCCCATTTGTCTTCCACCGAAAACATGTACGTGCAAATGATAAACACTTTGTCCACCATGTTTTCCATTATTTACAACAACACGATAGCCATTATCATCAAGTCCTTGATCTTTAGCTACTTTGGCAGCAACAATTAACAAATGACCGAGAAGCTATAATATAAAGAGAAGCGACAATACTTTAGTTATACTTTCTAAATATCAACAACTTACTTGTTCATCCGATTGTTTACATTTTGATAATTGTTGTATCGGTTGTTTTGGTATAACAAGAAAATGTGTTGGTGCTTGTTTTTCTTGATCATGGAATGCGACACACTAGAAACGAACAGTGATGAAGAATAGAATCTATATTTGTATGAAAACAGGATAATCAATCGTACTTGATCATCTTCATGGAGAAAGTCAACCGGTATTTCTTTACGTGCTATTTTACCGAAGATTGTATCTTCAGTTGGTTTAGCCGATTGAGCTTTAGCCGTTTCATCCGACATTTCGGCAGAAGAAATATATATAATAAAATCTAAAAAATATATAAAACAGTGAAAGCAAAATGAAAATCATTCACAAGGCTAAGAAGGCGACAATGATCGTTTAGATCTTGTAGAAAGATAATCTCTCAGCGTTGATGAACATTAAAAAAGTTAAATGGCAAGTTACGTATACACTGTTTTAGTATAAAAAAATGAAAAAGTTTTAACTAATGAATAATAACTTGTTTTTCTTGATCATGGAATGCGACACACTAGAAACGAACAGTGATGAAGAATAGAATCTATATTTGTATGAAAACAGGATGATCAATCGTACTTGATCATCTTCATGGAGAAAGTTAACCGGTATTTCTTTACGTGCTATTTTACTCAAGATTGTATGCCGATTGAGTTTTAGCCGTTTCATCCGACATTTCGGCAGAAAAAAATATATAAAAAGCGACAGCAAAATGAAAATCCTATGAGGTTGTTCCAGATGGAATAGTAGGTCATCCATCACTCCAACAATAACTAAAAAAATTCTTTTTCCGCTGCTAAAAGCTTTTGAAAAGAAAGTTTTACAGTACTTTTGAGTAAAATTTTCAATTCCTCTCCCCTCCCTTAAACTATGGGCCTTCTCGGCATATTTCTTTCTGTAAATAATAATAATAATAATAATAATTGTCCTTTTTCTTCATCGGATTGAAGTTAGGGACGAGAGAGTTAAACGCCATTCGATCTTATTTTTTGATTTCCTTTCCCACTGTCCAACTGGTATCTGGGG